GAGGATTACTACGAGTCCAATCTGTGTAATGAGACCCTGTAGACCCTGTACTAAATACATTAAAAAAAAAAAAAAAAAAAAACATCTAAAATTAAGGATGAAGCCAGCCAAATAGCTCAGTGAATTAAAGTGCCTGCAAGTGGCTTAGCAGCACAAGTGCCTGCCTGGTAAAGGAAAGGTAGAGAGTTCAATTCCCGGTACCAAAAAGAAAGGAAAAAAAAAGAAAAAGCACCTGCAAGCAGGTGCAGGGGCCAGGGGTTCGATCCCTGGGCCCATCATGCTGGCCCTGCCCCTGCCCCCAGGGCACACTGAGACAGTAATTGAGGCTGGGTGTGGTGGCAGGTACCTGTAAATTCAGCTCTTGGGAGGTTGTAAGCAGGCAGATCACTACAAGTCTGATCTAGTAGTAAGACCCTGAACACCCTGTAAACCCTTCCAAAAAAAAAAAAAAAAAACACAAAACAAACAAACAAAAAAAAAAACACAAAACAAAAAAATCAAACTGAGCACTTTGTGCTTGTTAAGTAGGCATTGTGCCACTGAACTATATCCCTGACCCTTTGATAAATTCTTGATCTTCAAATACCACCTGAAAGACAAGGTCTTCCTTTTAGTCTGCTAACCTTGTAACCTCCAGTCCTACAACCAAGTCCTTCAACAAACCAGTGCATGATTCTATAACATATCCATCAGTCCCAGTGGTAACAGATGCTTTGATAATGAAATGCTCTTACTTTTGCAATGAAAGATGGCCTCCAAGAGTTTCTTCAGTTACGAAATTGTGGTTTGCATTAAAAACCAACTATGCAGGGGCTGGTGAGATGGCTCAGTGGTCTAAAGCACCTACTTGGAACAAGCTTAGTAAACCACAGGGACCACGGTTCAATCCCCCAGCATCACATGCCAGCCCGCCCCGCCCCCTGGTGGGCTGAGCTGGCCACACACACACACACAGACACACACACATAATAAATAAATAAATGTAAAAAAAAAAAAAAAAGAAAAGAAAAGAAAAGAAAAAAACCAACTATGCAGCCAGGAAGATAGCTCAGTGGAATAAGTGCTTGCCTGGCAAGCATAAGGTCCTGAGTTTGACCCCTGGTACCGCAAAATAAATAAATGAAACAAAATCAAGGAGCCAAAAACCAACTATGCCAAAATCTCTTGTTTACCTCAGATGCTAAGACTAGGATTTAAAAAGATTAAGGCAGGGAATGGTGAGTCTAAAGTGCCTGCTGAGGCAAGCTTAGGCAAGTGCAGGGACTACAGTTCCATCCCCAGCATCCACATGCCATGCCAGCCCCGCCCCCCAGGGCGGGCTGAGCATGCCACACCAAAAAAAAAAAAAAAAAGATTAAGGCACAAAGCTACTGAATCAGATCTGGAATTCAGTTTTCTGAGTTTTTTCAGACTACTATCTTGAATATTTAGAGTGGTTCCATGCAACAAATAATTACTGGGTGCTTAATGTTATCAAGTTTTCTTCTGGACCCACATAAAACGCAATGATAAAAATGGACTAAAATCTCTATTTTTAAAGGGCTTGCATTTTATTTCATTTCTGTGTGTGTGTGTG